TGCAGTAGTGAAACACAAAGTGAAGAGATGGGCACCCTCCTTTCTATCTAGCTCTTTCTGTGACTTGTCGGAGACACCTGACAGAGGGTTGCAAGAGCTAAAGAGTAGCATTGGAAGCTTTCCAGAAGCACCTACTGGAGGGAACAGAAGTGGCTAATGAGGATGTTCGGTGTCAGTCTCTGCATTGCAACTGTAGTGTTATCTATGTGGTATGTAAGATGGTGAAACACAATCTTCCTCACTTCTCAATGGACAAGGCACCCTGCAGAGGATGTGTTCCTGGCACTTACAAACGATCCATGGCACCTGGAAACAAATTTCTTCTCATCTGCTTGGCTCTGGGACAGCTACACACTCACTTTCTACACAATGCTGTCTCTCATGTTCCCCGCACACATCCTGTTTTCACTCCTTTTCTACTTGTGCACACTGTGCACAAGACAAGAATAGTAGCTGAACCGTCCATATCAACTAATGAGAATTAATTGTTCCCACTAATTGTTCTCTGCATCACACAGGAAAATGAGTGTAGAGCAGCAGGACCTCGGGATTTACACAAGACATGCAGCTTACTGACATGCAAATGCTAGTTCTTCAACTTCTTGAGTTGTTTTGCAGTGGCAGTTTTCTGGCAGTAACTCATTTCCTGTGAGCTGCTGTTTAGAGAAAAGCAGCAAAGCAAAACAGCAATTTGGACCACAAGATGATTGTCCTGATCTCGAACTCCTTTGCCTTTCTTTGGTCTGTGCTGGCAGACTAAAATAATCAAGACAGCAGAAGCAAGTCCAAAGAACTGAAAAAGTCCCAGACCCTTTAGGGGATGGAGGGACGGACACCTATGATGCAAAGCCAACCCATCACACAGAGAAAGATATTTTCTTTAATGAAAATATCAATACAGAGATCATTGAAGAAACTGGGTTTTGTCAAGGACAATAAGTGTGTTTAAAGCATGATTACAAGAAAACAAAATTAAATTACAGGCTTAACATTAGACTGTACAACACACACCTCATCTCTAGAAAGATGGACTTTCCCTTTCTATAATTTAAAAAATCATGGCCTGTGTCTCCAGTGGGGGATAACGCACCATGACTGGGTCTCACTGGCAAAACCGAGTGGGAAAAAAAGCAAGCACATTTGCCCTTTGCAACAAACTGCAACAGGTAAAATTGACTCTGGATCTCTCTTAATGAAGCTACAAAGGCAATGTGGCAAATAACCCACACATTACTCATGGACACACAATGATTTAGAAGAATTCAACAGTTCTGCTTTTCTAAACGAAGTAATTGCCCCCAAGTTTGTCCCATGATCCCACTGTAAAGTATTCCATATATCATTACCTCCTTCACTGATTAGGGAAGATCAGCTCTTAACATTGCAGGCCCAGGGTCTTTTGCAAGCTACCTCCTTCCTAGTATTTCATGAACTGAGGGCATCAGTGCCAGTCCTGATGGGCCTGAACCATAAGCCTGGTGGGGGGGTGAGACTGCTGCATGCAAAGCAGAAAGCACTGTCGCCACGCATCAGTGCTGATGTTCATGATGTCCAGGGAATAACGAAAATGCAAAGCTCGACTCAGGCTTGCACTGAAGATGTAACCGCTGCAGTCAGCAGAGATCACAGGGAAAAAGAAGAAAGGGGGGCTTCTCTGGCTGGAAGATTTCATGTTTGGCAAAGCTTTCTATGAGTAGCCTACCCAGCGAAGCACAGTGTTCTTTTTGTAAGAAGTATCAGTTCCAAGCCCTGCCTAGCTCTGTTTCTACTAGCCTCAGGGTGCTATTAGAGTAACTCAGCACGGGGTGTTAGGTCCAAGAGCAGAAGCTGGTATACTTGCAGAAGTGCAGTTTTACCAGGAGAGGTGTTCACTGCAGAACACCATGTGGGCAGCACACCACCACCACGTGCTCTCTTTGAATACCCTGAGGGGGCCTCTGAGCAGATGGACATCCCGAGGACCACAGCTCAGCTGTGGAAATGCGCAAGGAAGAAACGGAGTGGCCATTGTGGTACTGGATGGCAGGCGTGTGGCGCACTAATCTTGCACATGTTGGTGACGTGACTTTAGCAAAGGTGCTTATAAGGCTTCAGAAGTTCACAGTGTGAAACTTGTTTGTAACTACAGTCTGTCCACACCATAGCTGGCATGGCTGTGAATTTTTTGGGGTGCTGCAGCTACCTGGTCAGTCTGTAACCTCCCTGGCAGCCGTGGTCCCTAAGCCCATGCAAGTTGACACAACAGGGATGCAGGTGAGGGAGCGCACCATTTCCCATTTTCCCTGAGCAGAGGAATTGTATGACGAACGTCTCAATGCACCAAAGCACATTGTTCCTCACATAGCTAGTCTTCGTGAGACAATTCAGATGAATTAGACCATGTGTCTGTGACCACTGGGTCACACTTAGCATGGAAATTTCAGGTCAACAGGACAAGGAAATTCTATATCCCTAATGTAGGAAATGCTTTCTTGACTAAAAGGAAAGTGTGTAATCTTGTTCAAAAGTAATTCTTCTTTCTCCATGCTGTATTTCAGACTGGAGACAACTTGTTTAAATAAGGGAGTCTACTTTTTGTGTCAAAAGCATTAATTCCTGGCTGCTTCCACTTGAAAATCACTTAAGGAAATGGGTTTCTTTTTCTTTTGCAATGGCAGTAAAGCATATATGTAGTGCCTGTCTCCTAAAATGTTAACATCTTGTCAACTCTATCAAACCTTCTGATCTTCGACTTCCCACAAAGTCCACAGGGTGTCTGCTTACCTTAAGCAAAAACAGACTGCCATCAGAAGGATGGGAATTTTAACAAAGCGTGATATTCCCTACTGTATTACCCAGTCCCTAGAGACGTTTAAAATAAATGTAAAAAAAAAAAAAAAACCAGCAAATGCAGCTAGTGTGCTCAGAGGAACTCTGGGATCTAAGAGAACACGCCTGTCTTTGAGAACACATCATACTGCAAGCAGTCTGCTACCCCATTTGTTACCAGAATCTCTGCTGGCCAAAACACTCACCACTCCTCTCCCAGTCCTTCAGGATCAGCCAGCAATTTCCTTCCTGCCTTTCCTGCCCCCAGTTAGGTGCACAGACTGTCTTTCCAGTACACAGTCCCACTGGAAAAGGCAGTGCTGCTCCAGTTAAATTCAGCAATAAGTAACCCCTGTAAAACTACAGCAAAAATTGGTGATTCTGCCAATTACTCAGGGATTTCGTGTGCCAAAACACACAGCTCCATGAAACTAAGCAGACTGTCACCTGAGAAAGACAGAGGCAGGACTGCAAGGTTTGATGGAGTGACCCTAGCCACAGCGCTGGAATGGTGGTTAGCAGTCACTTGGCTTAGGCAGGTTAAGATGGAGAAGCTCTGCCTGAGCCCTTGTGGCACACACTCCCAGGATTAGCACTGTGCACGCTACACTGGTGTATACCTTGAGCTTTTGCACCCAGGGAGAGGGAAGGAGTCCTCTATTTGCCTTCCTGGCATGCTCTGTGGCCCCTCCAACCACTGTGAACCCCTCAGCCAGCTTAAACCAAATTTAGCAGTGGCAGAAGTCTCAAAGGCATTCGGCACCTACAGGGTTTTCCATGACCTTCAGTGGTGTAGTAGAGGATAGGAGACGTACTAGCAAATTCTTCTGAACAGCCCAAATATAGGGAGTGCTTCACTCAAAATGTGTTCATGATAAAACGAGTCCAGAAATAAAACACTGAATATATTAGTTGCAATTTTGAAAGCATATGAAAGACAAAGGCTATTGTTCCCTGCTATTCTGAGGTTGCTGGTCTGGAATGCTACCATGCTTTCCAGAAGGCATCTAAGAGGCACTTCCTTCTTCTCTGTGGATTGTGCAATTTGCAGGTACCCACCTGGCATTTAACTCTTTGGAAGATCAGCACTGCAGCATGCAGAAGGGGCAGACGTGGTAGCGCCCAACATGAAACAATAAGCATTAAGTCATAAATTCTGACAGGAGAACCAACCTACCTCCAAACTGGGTGCCTGTTTTTGTTGGAGCAAACAAGATTACAGGCCGTTGGAAGTGGGCTAAAATAACCATTCCTTGGCCAGAAACCAGACAGCTCAGCAAGTCACAATGAACCCTCCAGCACATCTTTCTCAGCTTCAAACCTCTCTTGAGCACTTCAGGATTTTGTTTCCCAATGCTCCTCTGACAGACAGCAAGCAAACATCATCCCTTTTCCTAGCGACTTCAAAAAACAAATGCACCTACACAAATCACCAACTGGCAACAAATATCTACCAGTTGTAGACCACCACTCCTAATATGCAGAAGTGAACCACAATGGACAATACTAATCAGTTGTCATCACCTATAAGGAAGAGGACAGTTACTTTAAAAACCCAGTTGGTAATCTCAGTTTCTCAAGGCAGAATAAAAACACGTGGGACCAGATCCCTCCTATGAAACTGGCATTGAGGACATGTGGGGAGCCCAGCGGTAGGCTTTGTGGCTCAGTTTTGCAGCTGGAAGTGCTAGTGCTGGGTTGCCTGGGTGGGACATGAAGGGACACAGGCTCACCATCTCTCTGGCAAGTCCCAGGACATACAGCAGTAGGAGCAAATCCTTATGAGGAAAGCCAAAGAGTAATGACTGGGTAAACGGAAGAAAGAATTATCAGACTAGCAATGTCGTTCTCATTTCCCTAGTAACACATGTGAAACATCTACTGAAATACCCAGCATTGCTGAAAAGGCACCAGAGCTGCAGTGAAATACAGCTACTTGAACTTGGATATCCAAGCTGAAGAAAAAATTGAAGAAATGTATTCCAGGGCTTCTTTTAAAACACAAAAGTATTGTATAAAAACATTTCCCTGTACAGTAACATTAAAATGAGAAACATTAACGTCTGCATCATGCTTCAGCTAGTATTAAATTTCATCATAGCTAATGGAAACCACCAATGGCTGCTCTACATCAGCCCTAAAAGCAATGAAAGGGAGCTCACTGACTGCAAAACTGCAGATTGCTCCTAGCGCTGTGCATCTCAAAATACATTGTGGAGTGGAAAATCTTGTTCCCCTAGAAAGGAATGGAGTTTTTAAAAAAACACCAAAAGAGAACTATGTCATTCGCCTGGTTATTTGAAACCTTCCACATTTCCAGAGGAGAGAGATTCCAGAGCTGCCTGCTACGAGGAACTCTTCTCCTTGTATTTCTGGTAAGCATCCAGTATCTCCTTGACAACACTTGGATCATCAAGTGTAGTGACATCTCCCATGTTGCTTGACTGTTCAGTGACTACTTTCCTCAGCAGCCTTCTCATGATCTTCCCTGATCGGGTTTTAGGAAGACGTTTCACCACCTGCAGAGAAGGGAAAGCACTCATATTAGAACCTCGGTCCTGCTGGAAACGACAAGGAAGTTTGGCTGAACTGTCCTAAGCCCGGCACACTATCTCATAGCCACAGCTCCTTTGAGGCTCCTGGGAAATACTAGACCATTGAGCACATTGGTTTATGTCCAAGCAAAAGAGTGTCACTAGCATCAATTCCTTGTGCTATAAATTTTATTCTTATTTAAGTGGACTTTGTTCCCCATTTACTCATTGTTGTGTATCTCCAGGCTGGGTGCTGCAGGATGCACAGCTCTTTGGAGAATCAGGTCCTGATTAAACTGTTAACTATTGAACTAGAAAGCTAGTTACACTTGAAAACTCAGGCACTGATGATGACACAGATCTCAACGAATTACCAGAACAGACATTCATATTCCCCTTTACAGGGCAGGAATATAAAGCACACAATACTGCACGCCAGCTACAGGATCTCCTACTCAGGGGATAACCCCTGTCTGCTAATGTTTCTCTCTGCCTGATTATATTTGGCAGCCTACACGCCTTCCTTCATATCCAGAAGAATGTTAAATGTCTTGGCTATGCTTCCTTCAAAGGACTTAGCAGCAGATTCAAAGGCTTTAGCATAAACTTGAGCCTAGTAAAGGATTCTCAGGCACTGAACAGAGACACTAGCGGTCTCACATTTTGCTACATGGTCAGGCCAAAAGGCTACAAAACTCCAAAGCATTAACTAACATACAAGGAAAGAGTTGTAGGTCTTCTCTGCAGGACTATCCCCAAACACAGGGAAACAGAGGTGTTTCCTTGCAAACCTGCAAGTTCTGGGAGCTGCTCCAATCCACTGAGGACGTCTTGGGCTGTTCCAAGTTCAATGAGCCACCCTTGCCTGCTCCTGTTGTATTCTGTAACCTGGGTCTTGGTGTCCACCTTCCCAGCATGTGGCTAAGGCAGAGCCCCTCAAAGAAGTGGTGTGGCCACTGCCTCCAAGCAGAGAGTTGATTGGATACAGATGGGTCTTGGGGGCCAGCTAAGGGGCAGCTTTGTGCACTCCCCCCAAATACGCAAAAGGGAGCTGCTGAAAGGTGAGCCAGCTTGAAACAGAGCCTGGAGTTCATCAGTGCTCCCAGGGTCAGGCTGAACAGCTGTCTGAGTTATGCAACAGAAACAGTGCTTTGGGATCTGGAGTTGATGCTAATTATTAATGCAAAATAGCTGGGCAGTGGAAAGTGTCACTCTGCCCCTCCGTGACACTGAAGGTTGTGGCGTTTCTTTACAGTTTGGTGGGGTTTTATCTGATCCATTGCACAGGGCCACAGAGAGCAGTGCTACATTGCTTCAGCAAGGGGTTAGCTGAGGGTAAGAGCTATGTGGAGCAGTAATACTGCTGCATGGTGAACAGGGACATCTTGAGGCACAGGGTGGGCCTGGGGTTTCCCTTTGCCAGAGCTCTTGCCAACCACGGTGCTCTCAACACTCTCTGTGCATCCCATTTAAGGGATTGGCACTTGGCCCAAATGGAGCAGCCTCAGGGTAGCTCTAAAACATGCTCTGTAACAGCCCCACCAAGAAGCTGCTCTGCAGGCCGGAGCAGCTGTAATATCCCAGCCACCCTCTGGGTCACTGCTGATCCTCAGGCATGGAGAAGGAGCATATGCAGACCACTGCACCTGTCCTCCCCTACCTAGGGATCCCTCCAGCTAGTTCTGGTTTTGTGCTTCTTCATCCTGCCAGAGAGGGACAACAGCAGCACTGCAGGCAGGAAGGTGAGGCTTGCTCAGTGTGACCATTTCTGCTCCTGGTCCCAGTTACAGTCTCCCACTTACCAGAATGTGGTCAGGCACAGCATATTTTGCTATCTTGGAAGCCACTATGGTTTTGAGCTCTTCTTTGATACGGTCTGTATGAGCTGTCTGCTCCTTTAGCACTATGAAAGCAAAGGCACCTGGAAGACAAATGAGCAGAAGCCACATACCTCGTATTAGATCCTGGCTGGCAAGACCAGGGATGTTCATTCGAATGCCAAGGTAGGTTTCAAATCATTCCTATGCACAATCTAGGGACTGCCAAGAAAACCATAGATCCCGTTTACAAAAGGGAGTCAGACTCCAGCCCTCAAATGATAGCCCAGCCTTGTCTTGGCATCTATGGAGCAAACTGATCTCAGTGACAATGACAACTCAACATAAATTACCAAAGTGTCACTGGGATCAAAAGCTGGCCAATGCAAATCAGCTATTCCCATTCTGTTCAAAGGACATCTCTGAGCACAATCTTTTTTAAGGAAGCTCTACCATATACGTAAACACTATGTGTGAAAACAGTTTAGGGGAGTAATACCTGCACCCAGCTTAGAAACATGCAGTTATTTTCAAGGCTATCTTTGCCTCTTGGGGCGGCAACGCCAGTCAACCTAAGGATAACTGCCCTCGCTTTCCCTAGGCACCTCCTAACACGGAGCCCAGGTTAGAAATTAAGGAAAGTGTATGTAGGTGTCATGTCAGGACACTGCTTTTCACATACCTTCTCCTTTGATCTTGTGTGGATACCCAATCACAGCTGTCTCAGGGACCGCAGGGTGATCAGCCTTCACAAAAAGTGAAACAAAAATACACAGCGCATAACAACTGCTTCAAGCCCTGCAGAGTTTGCACCAGTTGCTCTAGGAACAAAACACCTTGCCTTATCCCACCCTCCCCTTGGCAGATCCTGCGGAAAGCACAACAGGAAAGCTGGATGGCATTTTCCTACTGCATGGTCAGCTGGTGGCCATGGCCACGGCCACGTCTCTGGGAGTAGCATTTACTCACTGGATTGGCCCTGCTTTTAAACACACAAATAAGTACTCTCACATACACTGCAAAGCTCACTGCATACCAAGCTGAATTTGCACCAGCTCAAAACCTGCTTTCTCTGACTTTATCTGTGCTCTTGTGTGTGCACGGCTACGGTCCCAAGTGGTTACCGGCCATGGCCAAATCACAAGCAAAACCAGTCCTGCATTCTCTGTGCCACAGGGAACTGTTGCCAGCAGAGCAAAAGTGAAGCTGCCAGCATCACAGTCCACACTTGACTGGTGTTTATAAGAAGACCAGAAGGCAGAAAGAATCAGGCCTCTTCATCTTCCCAGAAGGGGGGGAAGGGTTGTTTTGCCAAATGCGTATTTTTATTATTATGCTACACAACAGTGATTTATTCTGTCACACTTCAGAGTTTAATTTAACATTCTTCTGCAGTAAGAAGACAATTTGTGTACAGACCGGAAGAAATCGCATATCTGAATCCCACACCAAAAACTGGATTATGCTATCTTAAATTAGATTAAAATATGAAAGAAAACATTGCAGAGCAATCTAAGCATATAAATATATTTACATATACACATGCATACACATACACAGAGTGGGAGAGGAACTGGATCCTGTATCTACAATCAGAAAGCCACACAGACAAAAAATTTACTCACAGAAGAGACAGTAGGATCCTGTGTACCATGTGAACACAGCTCAGGTTTATCAAATGTTACATTTAAGTGCCATTTGCAGACAAGGCACATAATGTAGAAATAAATATTCAGGTCAAGCTTTGAAGATAAATGCTCTAAGGACTTCTTGTTTTCAATTCCCTGAGCTAATATTGTTTTCTCTCAAAATGACAGGCTAGCTTTGCAGCTGACATGAATCAAGGCTGCTTCATATTTAATGCTGCTGAATTCTCAGGCGTACTCAGCTAGTTCAGACGAGCAAGAACTACAGATTTGGGAAGGAGAGCTTAGGTGTTAGCATAGGGGAAGAAACAAACAGGAGAGACAATCCCGTATGGAGACTCCACCAGCATCCAAAATTACAACTGCAACAGTACAATGTCACTGAGGGGAAACACAGCTCTGACAGTTCAACTGCAGGGAATGCCCACGGTGTGACTGCTCTCTCACTTGCCCATTCGTCATCTCCTTAATAAGGGTGCTGTTTCCTTCTGCATATTTGCTATTCATTATGCATCAAGCTGCTGTGTGTATGCAGGGGCAGGGGTTTGAAGGCAACAGACCCTGCGCTTGTTTAAATTCATAAAGCTTCTTTCAAGGGGCCACCCTGCCCCACAGATACGCCTTGTCAAGGGACCTCTACCTGTTCAGAACTTACCATTGCATCTTCTATCTCTGCCGTCCCAAGCCTGTGTCCGCTGATGTTAATGACATCATCCATGCGCCCCGTTATCTGGTAATAGCCTTGCTTGGTCCTGTAAGCACCATCCCCTGTGAAGTAGTAACCTACAGCAAAGACATGTGGGTGGTCAGCAGCAGGAAGTGTGCCAGCCTATTGGTTTGGGCTCTGATGCAGAACAGACTACGCTCTAGGGTGGCGAGTAGGGTAGGGTAGGATCAGGCAGCTCGCAGGGACTCCTAAGCTCACAGCTGCATGACCTGCCACACATAATTTCTCACTTTCCTCTGCCATCCCCAACCTTTGTCTGCTCTGCCTGGGCTGTGCTGTCTCCTAGTAAGCACCTGAGCAGCACTAAGACAGTGGAGGTCAGATCTCTGCCAAGATGGGCAAAATCACTGTAGGCAATCAGCAGCAAACAGTGGCTCATGTTCCCTGTAGTAAAACCAAGTCCAGCAACACAACACAATGATGCTTTGTTGGATTTACAAAACCAAGGGGGGCTCTCTGATCTCCCTAGGCTTTACATGCCTACAACTGTGTGCTCAGGCCTGGTGCATACAGCTCTAAGACAAAACCACTTCAAATGCCACCTGCCATCATGCCGTAGGCTATTGGTCAAACTCAGGTCTGCTGCTAGCTACACCTCAGCACCCACAGAAAACTAAAAATGTTCAGCTGAAAGGGAGCAGTTCTATTACGTACATGGGAACACTGCCAATTTTTTTAATCACTTACACTGGGACTGATCAAAAGCCATTTTCCCTCCTGGCTAACAAAGATTCAGATCCCAGATAACAGTCCCTCTCCAGCATATGAGCATCGCAGAAACACTGCTACCAGATTAGCTGAAAAAAAAAAACCAAACCCATGATAAGCATGGTGTTTGGAGAGCCTAAAACTTTTGATGGAAACTGAAAAAGACCCAGTGGTTCCAGTGTCACTGAGGACACATCTGGTAACACAGATCCTGTGGGCTCTCCATCAAAGCCATGTCCACATCTGAATTGTTCCTGTGGCACTTCTGAGCAGCAGCAGGCAGCTAGTGAGGCAAAATCTGAAGGTGGTTCTTGCCAGGACCCATTATTGGCCAATTCATGGACTTTCAGTCATGCCTCCTGCCCTTCCAAATCAATTAAACAACTATCAACTAAATACCAACAAGATTTCAGATGCGAACGTGTAGTGAGTAATAAGGGACTATGGGCTCAATTTCTTCTATCAGTTTCCCATTCTTACTTTCCAACCCCTTTTGTACAACTTACAGGATTGTCTCTCTAATTCTTGTCTACCTTGTAGCTTTCAAATCCCTTTCAGTTGCTCCCCTAAGTATCCAATCTCGTACAAAAAATGTTTCCCTGCCACTTCTAATTACTTGCCAGATACAACTTGACCATGTTTTAAAAAAGGAAGGGTGTAACACAGCCTGTGACAGCAGCAGTGAGATTCAGTGATGTAGGAAGTACTTTCCCACCCAATACGCCTATTTCCAAGTGAGACACAAAACTGCCCCAAAGAAAAGGTACTTGGACTTTACAATTTGGGCATTAAAAATTTCTAAAAAATACGTTCCCTTTTGACAGCTAGAAAGGTCAACACTATCTAAGACCATTAGTGCACGCTTGCAACACATGACACACAACCCCAAGGAACCAAGATCTGGCTGGAACAGAAATATCACAAAGTGCTGCTGAAAATATTCAGTGCGCTTATACTGCAGTGCAAACTGCCTTCCCTTGGCACGTTCCTTACCTGGGTAGGCTTTGAAATAGGCATCAACAAATCGCTGGTGATCTCCATAGATTGTTCTTGCCATGCCAGGCCATGGCTGGGCAATGCAGAGTGCACCGGACACATCATTGCCCTCTATAACCTTTCCCTGCAGGTTCAAGCACAGAAAGGATGATCAGGTGAACAAATTAGGAATAGTAAGTGCTTCTGTGTCATTGATCTGGCAAGAGTCACCCTGTTGCTCACTGCAGACTGCCAGTGGAGGGCCACAGGTGGAGAAAACGAATCCGCTCATGGAGCTACTACGCACTGTCTCTATCACGCCTTCCTCACCCCTTGAGGCCAGCGGCACAGCAGATAAGACAGTTGTAAGACTAAAAGAAAAGTGAGTCCTGTGATTCTCCAGAGGGCAATGCCAGCAAAGATGACAGCAAAGATGTGCCGAGCAGCCAGAGGATGCCTGGAATGAGGCTAACAAGGAAATGCCTGGACCCCTGCCTTCCACTTTCACTTTTGTTAACTGCCACATTCCCTTACCAAACTGTATACGGAGATTACATGCTTTAGTGTTTAACAGGGCACTGGAGTGGAGGTGGGGATTGCTCAGTACAGCTTCACAGACCAGCACCAGTTTTCTCACAGACATGCACAGTTGCGGGGCCTCATGCCTTTCATTTTCCTTGGAAAACGCCACCAGTCCCATTGGCCGCTCATCTTGCCATATCACTGGATGTTGCATGCACAGCTCCAACTGTTCAGCTCCCTGGTTCCCAGAAGCTGTGTGACTTCTGACTGCTCTCATAAATGGAGGCAGCACCTCTCAATCAGAAGCAGTGTAAGACCATAAAAGTGGTGCTGAAAATGCAAACACTCCTCTAGAGATTTGCAGACAGCTTGCAATGCCCAGTTGGCAATCCGTATGGACATTTGAGATATGCTCAATATTTAAATTGCTCATCTATTCTATCATTTTAATGGAGGAACAAACATCCTTCTGGATCCTGTTCCTCTGCCATCAGAAAGGTGATGAAGGCAGAAACAGACAGCAGCTTCTCTTTTGGGCACCCAGCACAGCCTCAACTCACATTCTCATCCATCAGCACGGGCACAATCCCAAAGAAAGGTCTCATAGCCATAGCCGGAATGATCTCAGCTTTCTCCTCTGAAGGCCGTGGGGCAATGCAGATGCCACCAGTTTCTGGAAGAATAATGAAAAACAAAACATTTGGGGTCCATCCAATGCTGGATGAAAGCAAATGCCAGCTCTTCTTAGTTAAAGAAGAGAATACCGAAGCCATCCTGCAATATAAAGCCACTGGGAAGGAACTATGCAAACACCAAGTAGCACAGCTATCTGAAAGCAGCACAGACCTGATAAACCAAGAGCTCTTTGTGTTTACAGGAAAGGCTTAAACATAGAAAAATGCCTGGCAAGCCAGGATAACACCACCAAGACCTGTTTTATCTACAGGGGGCTTTGCAGCAGGTAGAGCTCAGATCAAGAGCTACTCCTACTCCCTGTTTGCATGATGCATCATTCAGTGCTGGCTGCAAAAATTGCTGCCCCCTGTGTACATTGGTGACAAACCACAGAGCATGGCCAAGCAGCTGCTTCAGGGGAAGAGCAACTCCCCATGCCCCACAGCATCAGGATCGCTGACGTCCAGCTTAGCTCTTCAAAGGCTCAGAGGAGAGCAGTACACAGGCTACAGCGGCTGGCTTTGCACCAGATGGCCTGTGGACCCTGCAGCAGCAGCCACAACATGTGCATTCAAGAGCCTTCCCACAGTCCCGTCTGTGGCAAACCAATCAGGGACAGTGAAGACCCCATTTGATTCAGCCCACATGTTCTGTACCCTACAGCTGGCCCTAAGTCGGCTCACAGATAAACCCAGCCACCAACCAAGCAACGAATACAGGCAGCTCTAACGCACACTTACACCCTTGCAGGTCCTTCTCACACTAATAGGGCTGCCTGGTGGCAGAGGCAGTACTCGCCAGCCCCATTTCCTACCCTAGAAGTGATTTTACAGGGAAAGTATAAGCACATCAGGGGATTTATCTCCCGGTGCTGTTTTTACAGCTGTCTAAGGTTAGCATGAAAAGCACTTCAGGAGTCTGAATTACTATTATTACAGAGTATGAGATTAACCCACCCCTCACAGGCAAGTTGAGCTTATCTTCTATACAAAATTGAACCTTTTAATCATCCTTTTTCATTCAGATGAACATTAAATCAGATTCCAGCCTTAATCAGGTCTTTTATATTCTAAAACTAATTCAGAAACACAAGAGAGAAACAAAAACAAAGGAACATTAGGCTTTTAAAAATACAGCTCTATAAATACAGGGATGTTCTGCCACGTTGAGAGTGCACTCCTCTACCAGCTTTGCTGAGGTTGTGAAAACTGAAACCAGGGGTTGGAAAGGCTGAATTTGACCCTGAATTTGCATCCAGCTGCCCTGACATAGCTATGAGGAAGGGTCTCTTTGAGGAACCCTAAGCTTCAGACCTGAAGAAAATAGTTTCACTTATGGCTTACACACAAAATTATTTCACATTTCATGGATGGGCATGCATCCACTTCACATGTTTCTGTTTATTTTGAAAGGGTCATCTTGAATTTTTTCAGAAAAAGAAAAAAGCACCCCAGACACCTACTGTTCTCTGTTTGCACAGACAAAATCTGCATCAGAGCAGGGAACCTGATTAAACTGATGGTTGCTCTTCCTAAGCCAGTACTCATTCTGAATACCGCACTGCAAGCTACATTTCAACATGGGTTTTGCCACATCCTACACATCCTGCAGGCAGCTGCATGTACAGGCAGTAAAGTCACATTCCAGAGGGAGCTGCATGGTGGCAAGGGTGCTTTAAAAATTATTTGCATGGTAAAGACCTATTTTAAACTGGTTTAAAAGTACCAATTTTAGTCACTGACAGATGACAGCTAACAAGGCTTCTAGGCTCTACCCTGCCCTTATGAAGTCTGTCTCTTTAGAGGCAGAGCTGGCAGAAGAAAAGCTGTGCTTCCACGTTACCTGTGCCCATGCTGTCACCGTAGTGCAAATCCACCCAGACTTTAAGCAAGGACAGCAGAGTCTGAGCAGGGAAGGTGATGCATCAAAACAGGCTCCCCTCTGCCGTGGGTAAATGACCTCTGGCACCGCTGTCTTTACCACCACAGGTAGATTGGACTGACTAGTTTGGGGGGAATCCATCTCAGAAGCACCAGCCCAGTCTAAATCACTGTAAGATGATGCCAACAACAAAAGCTTCCAGGGCCTGTTCGGAGATGTCTTTCAAAATCAGCTTTTGTTCACAGCTGCATACAACAGCTGTACTTTTTTGATAAAACCAACGACAAAAGTAAAAATACCGGTGTCTCTTCTGCACTGCGAAGAACTACACCTGAAACCCAAACACAGCCTTGATTCTATTACTGTCAATCACAGCACAGCAGTACCTAATATTTTAACAGTAAGAACCATAGGAATTTTCCATCTCTCTCATCTGCACGTACCACACTACTTAAATTGCTTCTCGTAATTGCTATCTCACTCATTTGCTCATCCAAAGACTTTCAAGTGGATTCTTAAATCACCATTTGCTGATCTTTACGCCTACCACGCTTTATTAGCTGGCAACACATTGCTGCTTCAGGGAGCAATATACCGTGGAGGACACTGCACACAACAGTGCAATTAACAAGCTCTATTGAAATTGTCTACGAGAGGTGACACTGCAGGACCACAACCAGCATCCATCAAACTGTTTCTATGATCTCTTTCCACGCTCCCTTTACATTCAAATGGCGTATATAATGTTTCCAAGACTAATTTGGCTTCCTCTTTATTGGAAGCATCAACTGTGGAGAAAGATTGATTCTACTTTCTAATAAAATCAATTTCATGAATATTTATCATTATATTACGCTTCCAGGAGCGGGTAACTGTTTATCTGCAAAACTATCAAGCAGATCAAGCACTCTCCATTCACAGGCTGTCCAGCAAATGTTCTTTAACCTCTCACCTGACAGTTGTTGCTCCAAAAATCCAGGAGAAATACAGTTTAAGATAAGATCTAACCCTGTACTTCAGAGGAAATAGGAGACACTGGACGCACACTGCATGCACCAGTTAACTGAAGACAAACTACAACAAAAAATGTTCGGGCAAAAAAAGATTCTTCTCAACTCTGCCACTGTACAGTAATCAACTGCTTCTCCACAGTGTTTTATTTCAGATCAGTGAGGAGGAAAGCATATAGCACCTAACCAGTCAGCTTTCCTTTGCACAGCATGTGAGAACCCAGATGGTTTAAGAGATCAGTAATTGAAGTAGACAGTAGTTAACACTGCTGCTCTGAATTCTGAGGTTGTTTTATTTCAAACCTGAAAATAAAGAGAGTCTGCAAGTTTGGTCTGGATTAAATGGAACTTGGTTGTGTGCCAGAAGCTAATTCATCACACTGAGATGGGCCACAAGGATCCTGAAGAGAGGATCCTGCTAGCAGGAGTAAGGATGAAATCAGGAGCAGCTTGACTGGAAAGGGGATGAATAATCTGCCCAATGGCAGCTAGAAATTTAAGAGTAGGGACAGCTTTTTTTCAGCAGAGACAGAATGCCAGCAGCTGTGCTGTGTCCTTTAAGTCCATGGCTCCATGGCAAACTGTGTGGTTCACGACTTGAGAAGGACATATTGCAAGATGCCTTTAGCAACTCTTGAATGTTGGTGCCCAGAAGAGAGGACCGCGTACTGAGGTGGCCAGGAAGGAGCTGCAGGACTCCTCCAAGCACAGGGCCCCACCAGGCAGCACAGCCCCAGCCGGAGTACAGTGCTGTGGCCTCTCTCCGCTGCTGACCAGGGAGGGCAGGAGGCAGGGACCACCTCTGCTCCAGCTGGACAGCGATCTATGAGAGCCAGTCACTCTGTCCAGCGGTTGTAAACGGAAAACAAGCCTTAACTGATGCACACAGCTGGGCCAAGCACGTTGCCAAAGCAGATGCACACTCCTTTTTGAGGCACCAAAGGTCCAGGGCCAAAGCAACTACAGCATACTACTTCTGGGAGAAGCTGCTCCCAGGCAGCCCTGCTGGGTGACAGCCACTGTCCCCTCCCCACCTGATGCACAGCCAGCAAGCCTCCACTCACTCCTTTCCAATTCCGCCAGAGCAGTTGCACTAGGTCCCTTTGACTACAGCTTGGTTTTCCATCTTCCTCTGACCGTTCCCAGGAAGGGAAACAAAGCACACCTAAGTACAGATTGTGGCTATATGGTGCTATAAATGCCCTTTTTATGATGAGACCATACCAAGGTCAATACAATTGGATAAATAATTGAAAATGAGGTTTCCAATTCAAGCTGCCTGCTCTCAGCTTTGCCCAGAAATTCAATCTCTGCCTCCTGTTTCTAGAACCAATTGAGATTTTCCAGCATTCAAAATATCAAAGAACATTTAGAAGGCAAAAGAGAAAAAAAAAAAAACCAACATTGCTATTGCTTTTGTATGCTGTACATTGCTATTATGTGCTGAAACTCCCCAGTGACTTTCAAAAGCTGATCAAAATGCCAGGAGGTTTTTTTTGACAGACTTGTTGGATCTAATTGAAACGTATTAATTCTTCTCTACCCACCAGCAACCTGTCAACGGTCAGGGCCCTCCACGCTCCCGGAATGATGCTTTTTACCTGTCTGCCACCATGTGTCCACGACAGTGCAGCGCCCTTCTCCCACCACGTGGTAGAACCACTGCCAAGCTTCGTGGTTGATGGGCTCTCCCACTAGATCAAAATAAGAAAGGAAGCAGTCTGAGACTCAGGGGGTTGCAGGCAGTTCATTCTCCCTTTTGGTGCACAACAGGCTGAATGCATGATCTTTGAGCAGAATGCTTACAGCATTTTTGCTGGGATGTGCAAAGGACTGCAATGCACTCACATAACTGAGGACTGACTTTTTCCAGAAAGACCAAAAGGCAAGCAATAAATATCACTGAAAGTAACTAATCAATGCAGGTCATGTAGAAGAACCTCTAGAATCCTAAATAATGCAGGAAAATGCTGCTTGGGTCTCCTAAGCCACTAAAATTCAAAGTGTTGTCATTTACCATTGGATAAATCTTTCTGGTAATGAATGCGATCCTGCAAAATCAGCCAGGAAACAGGCAATCACACTAAGGTTCAATGGCCCCAACTTCAGTTTGTTTCTCCTTCTGCTGAGAAAATATCTGAAAAGCCAGACAGGGAGCCTGCTTTATCTTCTATTTTTAACCACATCCCATCTGGTCAGCCAAGCTCCTCTGTACCTTCATTTCACCAGTTAGAACCCCCTGTCTTTTTCAGAAGAAGATTTCATGCCCCTTACCTGATCCCAAGGTCTTCAAGGAAGATCTGTCATATTTCTTCACCCACTCTTCTCCATAATTCAGCAGCAAGCGTATAGCCGTAGGTGCTCCATAAAACTGATTAATTTTCAACCTTTGTACCACTTCCCAGTAACGACCTGCAAGATCACAAACAGGCTTTTTATATTTCTAGCACTGACAAACCACCACAAATGCTCAGCAGGAAGGTTAACAGCCAAAGATAAAGCTATGACTACTGTGCAAAGGAGTACAGAGCAAAATCAATGGCAACTTTTTCTTTTTCACCCTGGATGCACAGATGTTCCTGAACGTTGTAGACACATGTTCCAAAGAAATGGAGCTTACCTCCCCTGAGCAGGCAGGTCACACTGGACAGGTTTCTAAATCTCCTTTGTCACACTGCCACGTCTAGCCAAACCTTTGCCCACCACTTCCTCACCTGGGTCAGGGTACACTGGAGTGCTTTCAAATAGGACAGAGGTGGCTCCATTGCAGAGTGGTCCATACACAACATAGCTATGTCCCGTGATCCAGCCAATGTCAGCCACACAGCCAAAAACATCGCCTTGCTGGTAGTCAAATACATACTGCAAAGATAAATGTAAGGCCAGCTGACTTTCTGTTGGCAGGTGCAAAGAACTTAAAGGTAAGGTGAGGTGCTGGACTGGACACCCGACTGGGAGCACGAGCGCACAGGGCGAGTGGAGCCAGGCACGTAGGACACAGAAACACAAAAGCCAGTCCAAGGTGAGGAAGTAAGTCAGAGGGACCAGTACCAGGGCTTCCACGCTCCTGACTGCTTTTGCAAACATACAGGGAGCATGGCTGTACCAGCAGCTGCTCAGAATGGAGCAACAAAGCTTACAATCAAAGCCCAGAGCCCTGGATACCTAAGGTTGCCTGCTCCAGGCAGTTCAGTGGGAGAGCTGACCCTGAACTTCAGGGCCTCGGAGGCTCAGATCCCTCACGAATATGAACAGGTTCCTATGAGAAAGCTGGAGAAACTGATACATGCCCGTGAAACATTTTCTGAGAAATGTTCTTAGCTGTGCAGCTTCTCTATCAGTGTATTGCTTTCCAGATGCTCCCCTCTCCCTGCTCATCAAATTCAAGATAAAAATCTTGGAAAACTCATTATCTCTTCTTGGTTATGGAAAATGCTTCCCACTGTAAATCCAACTCCTCTACCGTATGGTGAAGAGATCCTGACTCACAAGGCAGAGTCAGCTTTATGTTTTAAATGAAAGAAAGTGGATTAGAACTAAAAGAAAACCCCATGAGTGTGTGACAAGAGTGTCACACATGAGTGTGCAAAGACCACAGAGGCCACACAGGTCAGCTGATCCCTCTACCTAGGAGAGCCAATTCTCACCTTACTTTTGCAAGTGCCTTTCCCTCTCAGGCTCTGAAGTACCTCTAAAGAAACCGCAGCTGCATACAGTGCCTCCCTGCATGTCTGCACCAGGGTGCAGGATCTACCTTTTGGACTAAGAAAGATGCCTTGGAGATTACACTGTCACTTAGAAAAGCTGACGTAACAAACACCCTTCATGCAGAGAAGTCTGACACTTGCACATTCAAATCTTCTAAAAATTCAACAGTGTCAGCTGTTGAAAGAAAACCTCTGCCTGAATTGTGTTTGATAACAAACAGGGTGATACCACTAAAGCCAGATGGAGATCTTTCACCGCAGTCCTCTCCACGTTTCATTGTTACCTTTTCATATGCAGCGCTCAGACCAGAAGCTTCAAGAAGCAGTGCCTTGACTTTTTTTTCATGAGAAAGGGAGCTAAAACATTTAGCCTAGATCACATAGAAAAGCAGCGCAAAGGTGCAACCACAGAGCATGAACATAATTTTTGATCTTCAGACAAGTGCTATGCAAAGAGGTTGTTTTAAGAGTGCAGATCCTCTCTGAAATAAAAAAGGCCAGCATCCCACTGCAAAATACTACAGTAATATCCACATTACCAATGCCAGTAAGATACATACCAGAATCTCCTCAGCTGTATCACTTTAACGTCTGCAAATTCTGGCTTGCAACACTAGCACATTTTAAATGCAAAAGTAGCAACACTGCAGTTTCCCTCCTTTCATAACTCTAGGCTCTGGTTTGCATTGTATTATATTCCCCAGAACAAATCCTGAAGATTAATTACATGTTCTCAGACATTTTTCAGTTTGTTTACACCCAATAAGCCAACTGGGCAGCAAACACAGAATACAGCACCTCTCACCAGTCCAAGTTCCTCTCGTTAGTACTGTCAGAAGGTAAGTGAACCTTTTCCAGAGGGTGCAGCCTAGTTACCTTGTGCGTGAGAGCAGCGTACAGCAGGTATCCAGCCTGGGTGTGAACGACTCCTTTGGGTTTCCCAGTGCTGCCCGAGGTATACAGCATGAAAAGCACATCTTCGCTGTCCATGCTCTCTGGAGTGCACACAGAAGCTGCCTTGGCCATCTCCTAAGAAAAAAAAGGTGGTAATGACAGAAAGACTTTGGCTAAATGGAGCCAACCAATACTCCATCTGTAAGCATGTCAGCAGTGTCCAGAGACGAGAACCACTGTTGCTGTGGCCCCCTCACAAATGTCCATGGATGTGTCATAGGTTATATGTGCTCACCTACTGGAAAGGTTCCTGTGGATGCATAGCACCTAGCCTTTCCACGAATACCTCTGCTAAGAGCAGAAGTCAAGGGGAATTGGCCAGATAAAATAGCATTTCAGGAAAAAAATGGTAGGTCATAGCTTACATTTCAAGCCTTTGCAAGCTGCTGGTAGAAAACCAAAGTGTGACTGCAAACAGGAACCACACTTGACAGCAGCAGCAAGGCTGACTGGATACTGTTTAGGACCTTCCTTTTCCTTTTAAAACTGCAGTGCTACAGTTAAACTGTGCATTCATCTCCCTTCCCTGGCCCCAGCAGTGGATGTCTGTCCTGCCCATTTGATCCTCAAATTCTAATTGCTTCTGCCCATGAGAAGGAGAGTGCTTTACTCTCCTGACTCTGTCACTCTCTTCATAGTTCACTGTTTGGCCAGGTTTTTGAGATCTTCTCCTCACCCCTATGGTCAGAACCATGGGAGGGAAGGATGCAATGTCCTACTAGATCAGAGCAAACTTTTGGTCCAGCTTGTGTGCCCAGTACAGCAGAGGAAGGGAAAATAATGTACTTTGAAAGAGATGCTTGTGGTCACTGAACCTTGTAGCAGCAGAAGGCTTGTCTGCCCAGACTGTAGATTTTTCAGGACGAGGTTGAACATTTTTCTTATCCATGTACAAACTTGCAATAATCACTGTGTGTTCCAGATGGTCAACATATGGCTGTACAAAAAGCACAGCTGGCTTGCTTCTCTTAAGCTTTGTACTGTCCTATATGAATAATGATTCCTGCAAGGGTTATTAGGTGGCTCCTTGAAGGAATTTCTACGTACCGCCTTTTTACAAGCATACACTGTAAACAGGCTGTATTTACAAGTGAACACTACCAACGGCAGGTCCAGTTGTTCAATTGTCTGACAAACAAAGCTTAGTAAAATATGAAGAGTTAATAGGGTCAGATGTAATTCTCAGCCTCTGAGTTACAGCACTCCTGCTCATCTCAGGTATTTATTGTGACATTTCAGCACTGCCAATTCAGGCTGACTTGCCAGTTTTTGAAACTAAGATGGAGTTCTCATATGCTCCATTACAACATGAGCTTAAATTTTGCAGTAAGCCATTGCACAAGAACTGGAAAGCACAACTGCTGTAAAGATCAGTAACGACAGAATTAACAGCATTAATGGTTTCATTCTTGTTACGTTTCAGACTCTACAACTGACAATGGGCTGAGCTCAGCCTTTGGATCACCAAAGCACCTCAGGCTGTTTGCAGGAAAATCATCAGAATGTGCTTTGTGGAGTAAGAAGGAGTAAGACAATTTCCGAATAAAACCTGCCTTCTCTGTTTAACTTACCCTAGTAGTTGCTCCTATCTCATGTGACCAGCACAGGGACTCCTGAGTAATTATCTTGGCTGCAGACGGGTAGTTTCCAGGCATTATTATGATGAGTAGTTTCTGTTTACTGCTGCCGGCAAACTGATAAAACTACTTCTGCATTAGGCTGCAGTCCCATGTGTACCAGCTAAACACATTAGAACGACTGCTGGTTTGTTCCCCAGGAAGCACAGGTTCTAAATATTCCCAAGCCATCGCTGTCCTCCCATCACGGGATAACCACAACATTGTCCATAGGCTATATTAGGCCTCTCCAGGAACTTGATTATTTCTGCACTGCCTTTCAATAGTGTCCAGTCTGAGAGTGCATATGACAAACCATAACAGAGTGCCTGAACACAGTATAACAGCAGCAATGGTATCAGCGCACTCTGGGTCTCAGGAAATGCTCATTCCTTAAATGTCAGCACTGTTTGCAAGACTACTAAAATGGGGCAGCATGCCCCCTGCCCACGCTAGATGAATCAGACTGAGCTGCTTCGACTCACAATCCTAGCAGACTGTAAATACAGGCAATTCATTTGAGGATGAAGATCCAAATGCCTTAAGGGGCATCTCCTTTTCATCTGCAGAACTCGGGTCCAAAAGGCACAGATGGAGAGAAAGATGATCTAGCCAACACTCAGACCTAAAAGGAGTTATCCAGAGTGCCAGTGGGCATCTGCAGAGCTAGGTGACTGCGGGGACATACAGATGCTGTCACTGCAACATAGCTGTATCCAGAGGTACTGTGGAAGCACGGGAAGAGCAGCACACACTGAAAACCTGCTCCAGAGGCAGCATAAAGGGCAGTCATCACTGGCAGGTCTGATGCAGCTACACTAGAGTGCCAAGCTGCATTGCAGCGGCTGCTTCATAGGCTTTTAGCTCAGCACACATACGCAACGAAAGTATGGAGACTGCCTGATCTTCCTTGGCTGCCAATTCCCAGTGTAGCCTACAGGAGATCAAAGACCAAAGCCAAATACCAAACTGTGCATGATCTACACATTCAGCAAGACTCTCACACACATGTTCTGAACAGCCCTGCATCAAGTCTCTCAGAGATGTCTATGTTAGCTAGTCCCTACATATTTCTCTCCCTCAGCACAGTAAACATCGCAGACTTCAAAAACATCAGGCAAGGTTTACCAACACCAACATACCTCCTCAAGGGGAATATCACGGTCACCCATCCAGACTTTGTTATCTGTCCTCTGAGCCACAAAGACGTGTTTGATGCTTGGACAGTTCTTCACAGCTTCATCCACAGTCGTCTTCAGCTCTATGATTCGGCCTCCCCTGACTCCCTGGTTGTAGGTGATAACTGCTTTGCATCCAGCTAAAAAGAGAAGGAATTAGCAGACATACCAGCCTGTCTTCCAGGCTAGTATGTGCACCCTGCTTTCATTACTTTTGGGGATGATGTATAGGACAACATCTGTGACAAATACTCAGAACTCCTATCAAACAAAAAGTCAGTGTCACTGATGAAAACACTTTAAAACCTGAGACCCACAGAGATTAGGGGTAGCTGGAACCTCCATAGGTTATCTAGTTCGTCTCCCCCACCTCAAGGCAGCGTCCACTCCAGCTAAACCATTTCTGACAGCTGTCAGTCCAATCTTCCTAAAACACTCCAATGGTAGCTACTCTACCCTCTCCCCACCAGTCCACTCCAATGCCTATCATGAACATGAGAAAGTCTTTCCCAATATCTAGCCTAAGTATCGCTCACTGCAATTCAAATGCCTCCATTCCTGCCTAGCAAAGCTGACGTGCAGAACAGTTTCTTCCCAGTTACCTGTGTTATAGTGAATACTGCTGCTTTAGCCTAACATGCTAGCTCATGCACTGAAACCAGTGCAAGACTTCCTATGACCTTAGTGAACAAGCACCTTTGCCCCTCTCTCCTCCTCTCTCTGGAGCTGCATATAATTGTCCATTGCAAACTGAAGTGAACAGCACCAAACTCAGCAGCCTCTCAGAGGCGCTACCCTGCTCTGAGATACCTGCAGCTTTCTGAAACTCACCCGTACCTTGAGGGGAACCTCCTGAAAGCCACAGCACACAGCAGCACTCTGGCAGAACACTTCAAATTGTACCACACTACATTATTACAGAGCTGTGGCTGCAGAGAAATGGTTCTTTAGCTCTTCATCTCCACACAAGTGGCCAAAAGTGAGGGATAACTAAAATATGTACTTGCTCTCTACAGATTAACTCCACTAAAGCAGAAAACAAAGCATGAAAATTGCTGTAAGACTTATTCCCTCACACTAGCCATAAAGAAACTGATGTGACTGCTAGGACATGAGCCACTTGCTATTTTGTTCTTCTGCTGGTATTTTTAGCACTACTTTTTACCTAATCACACTACAAGTGCTTTGGGCTAAGAACAGCTCTGTCTGTTGGTACAAAGGCTAACAGAGCGGGGGCAGGCTGCCAACACTTGCAGTGCTATACATAAATCACAGTATCACAATCGAGACTGCAGAATTAGCACTGTGCAGGAGTTTCAAAGAAACACTGCGATTTTACTGCGAAAGAACAAATCAGGCCCCATTCCTAAGCTCTGGTTTTCCCTCCAGCTTCACCGCTGTCTGGCAGTAACCCAGTGCAGACCGAATGTTAAGCAATTTATAAAGTATTTTAAGGCCAGAGGATACTGCATCTGCCACTAAAGAAAAGGCTCTTCACAGTACTTTGCAAAGGAGAGTGAACTGTCCCACCAGCTGAGAATGAACCTTTTCTCTTTCTGGCAAGAAAACACAGAATTGGGATATGTCTTGGAGCACTGTCCAGAGGGGTTTGTTCCCTGGTCTGCATCTACTTACAGTCCATGATCCTCCCAGCTAAGGACTCTGCGCTGAATCCAGCGAAGACCACAGTGTGAATGGCACCAATCCTGGCGCAAGCCAGCATGGCTGCCACAGACAAGGGAGACACGGACATATAGATGGCCACCTTGTCCCCTTTCTGTATCCCATATTTCTTCAGGGTGTTGGCAAGACGGCAAGTCTGATCCAGAAGTTCCCTGCGGCACAGAAGCAACGTTGTCATGTGACCGCACAACCTGTTTTATGCGGGGGAGCAAAAAAGGATGAACTTGAACCAAGCGAGGCATCATGATCACCTCTGGATCTTGTCATCTCAGCAGTATAGGGCACGCCAGCTTTTGCATCGTAAAGAAGGGTGGCCTGGGGTGTGGTGAAAGCCAGGCTGCAGTGGGGAGAGAAGAAAAGGGGGGCAGAGAGCCACGCTTGCTGCAGAAGGACGAGTGAGCGAGAGCCGCAGGTGCTGCCCAGAGCTGCCGGGCTCTGGCATGGGTAGAGCAGCCAGCAAGCCAGTGGCTGTCCTGCTGCCTCCAGAAGTCGGTGTCCATTTTAGCCATCCTTGATGCCTTTTTTACCTACGAGGCTCAGTCATAACCTACTGGGAACACGTATGGAATAAACACAAGATGAAATGGAAGCATCGTCCAAAGACTCCCCACACTATTTATGTTGGGGAACTGCTGGAAGTGCTTCACAACTTGTAGCTTCTCTTTAAATTGCAACGGTAAACAATGCATTTGCATGCATAAGGAAGAAAAGGAGAAGTCCCAAGACACTTGTGTGAGTGGCAGATTTTACAAGACTCTCATCAAAGGCTGATCACCCGCAGCCCGAATCCCTCTATTGTCACTTCACCCTGCCGTGCCGCAGAGCACAACAGCCTCGCAGAACAGGGATACTGCTCCGAGTAAAACCGCAGCCACTCTTCCATGGAGAAACTTGGGAACACCAAGAACAGGAGCAAAGTCTCTTTTCACAGTGCTCACCACTGCAACGTGCTGACTTAATAGCAGAAACGTTCCTCTAAAGAACAGTTCATGGGCAACGACTTGCACATACACTTATTGTGCTGCCTGCACGGGGGATAACACGATTGCAGGCATGCCTTGGACCAAGGTGCTGTCAGGAACTGAACAGCTCTGTGTGCCTGCAGTGGAAGGGCTTTGAGAAGAATACAGATAACTGTGCCAGGTGAAGAGTGGTCTCACGCCAAGGAAGGAGGTGACCCTCACGAGGGCAGCACAAGGGCACCCTTACTGGTGCCAATCGTTAGCTCAGAGGAGAAGACTTGCAGAGTCCGCCAGGAATGAAAATTGTCCTCTGGGTTCAGCAACTCGCTGAGTACTGAGGCCCAGAGGAGAGAGATACCTTCTACTCCCTAGCACACTCATCTTCAACCCGTCACCTGTGAACCCTTAGAGGTCTGTAAGCTACACCACCAGGGACTCCACAAACTGTTAACAAACAAATGAGGTTTGGGGGTCTGCATTCCATATTAAGCTGTAAAGCATGAATCTACCAATGTATCCTTATCTCCCAGAACTGGCCATAGCTGTGAAAAAACAAACAAACGAACAAAACCAGTTTTCAGCTGGTGGCTAAGCTGCAAATAAAATGAAATGTTGTTTCTCGTCCATCAAAAATTGTTGTGTTTCTTTTTTCAAACCAATGCAAGTTGGAAATAGGCAAAGCCCAAGTGCTCCACTTTGGAAATGTCATACAAAACCATGGGCTGAGAATAACTTGGCATCTTACTTCTTTAGGATAAAACTCCATCTGCACTGTGAGGGCAGTGAAGCGACACAGCCATAGAGAAAGTATGAAGACAGATACAGTGATGGCTGGAGGGATACCACTTCCCTGCCGCCTTTTGGAAGGTAAGGAAGACAAGCCTCAAATCCCAGCCACAGCACTTTGTGTTACTTATTTTAAGACTATTCCTGTAGCATCAAGTAAATAGACCACTCCTGAAGCACAGGAACTCAAGAGAGGTGGCCAGACGTACTCTGTGCCTGCTCTCTGGCAGTAGTTGGCCACAGCTGCCACTGCAGAGAGACCGCAACCCTGCAGAAAGCAGATATGGAGCAGCTTTACCCCGGACTGAATTTCCTCCTAATCCCTTAAAGCTAGAGATCAGCCTAAACTCTAAAGCACAACATTCAATACCTCTTCCCAAGCGCCTCATGACCATGCACGTTCCTGCTATCTACATAAGTGCACAGTCTGTTAGATGTATTATTTTGCTTACTTTTACTAAGTTCATTAACTGAGACTCCATGCTGTAACGAATTCCCACCCAACGTTTGTTTTTGTGCCTTGTCCTAAAAGGTCACATTCTCTGGTCCAGAATTCATCCCATGCTGCATTAGAGAAAAATCTCAATGTGGATAAATATTAAAGAGCCAAAACAAAACTAAGCTGCTCAAGTGCAAAGCACAGGAAGTGAAACAAGCCCCAGACAGGCAGTTGTGAGAAAGCAAAATAAAAACCACTTATCTGCAACGGAAAATACCCAAGTGCTTTCAGAGCTGCAGCCTCTTTCTGCTGAACAGAAATGCCAGAACAGCTCCGGCCAGGGCATCCTTTCCAAGCAACTCCGTGCTTCGCTTGCTTATTCAGGACTCAGTGACTGTGATGGCAGATGCTCTCATTGTTTTTTTATGATTAACCCCAATTTAACATTTGCTTCATGACAGTGTGTGAGCAAGCTGATAGACAATAAGGACCAAGTCTTTACCCCCGGATCTATTCGCTTTGCCTTCTCCTTTGTGCTCTGAAAGGCCAAGATAGGAAGGCTTTGGAGGTCCCTTGGCAGTGCAGCACATGGGGGAACGGACACAAAGGCAAAGAGAAGGTGAAGCCAAGAACTCCAACAAAGAAATCTACAAATCCCTGAGCATCAGGTGTGTCTTCTGGCTCCTGTAGCAGCAACTCAGGCCTCCCCTCCAGTTCAAGAGAGAGACTTAGCAGAAATGCTGTCTCAGGAATCCTTCCCTTGACTCCCTCACTCCTTCACACACATTTTGCTATCTAACAGGCAGGCAATTAGTACATGCCAGCAGGTTACACATTTCCAGTACGTAACCTAGACACGTCTCAGGGCGGAACGAGCACCTTGCAGAGGTGCTACCCCGCAGAACTGGGTGGGACAGACCTAACCGAACTGAGCAGGAGGAAACCATGGCCATGGTTTCTTCCCCACCTGCTACTGCTGCCAAGCTTGGGGTTGCAGTCCCTCCATCACACAAGGTTAAAAGAGCAAAGAGCAATTCTGGCCTCAAGCCCAACACTGCCCCACCCTTGGCACAGAGGCAATGCCATCGAATACCGGCGGACTGTGCACAGGGAAGGATCTGCCCCCCATCCACACCCAGGAGGTGTGTTGGTAGCAAGGCACATCTACTGAAAACATACATCAGACGCTGAACTGAACTAGATGCTGTCACCCTGGAGCCGGTGAGACAGTGCGAAAGAAGGCATCTTCAGTTAGCTTCTGCCTGCACTGAAACATGGGGTACAGAGGAAGGGTAGAGGAAGCAGAGGGTTAGAGTGAAAACTTCTATGCTGAAAGGGCTCAGCCGTTGCCAGTGAAGGACAGAGGGTGGCCAGAGGCTTGGAGCAGATGTGCACTGCTTCTGCAAACCACAAGAAGAGGGAGAAAGGCAAAATCCCAAGCGATACTCGCAGTGTTGCCACCTGCCTGCCTGCACTCCAAAGGATTTCAGTGCAGCTGCCCAAGCGGACGGTGCAGAGCAGGGCACTATGCCCAGCAGAGGCAGGCAGGACAACCACCGGAGACGGACGAAGCCCTGGGGCACACAGCGGGTCGCAGGGCGCCCGGCTCCCTGCGCACAAGCCGGGCAGGCAACAGGAGGACCTCAGCAGAGCCACTGCAGGAGAAGGAAATGCGCTGCAACGAAAGGAAGCACCCAGCCCCTCTGGACAGAGACAGCCGAGAAACTGCAAAGTCAGTTCATGGCGCAACAATCTGCAGATCCTCTGCAAAAGCAGATCTTAAGGGCTGAGAGGAAATAAGAGAGCAAACTGGGCAGCAGAACACCACTCCAGTGGGTAAAGTATCAGGGTGGAGCTGAGAAACAGGGAAGCAGCAACCAGTTGGATTCAGGAGGCGAGGCCATTTGCACAGGAGAAAGAACAGTACATATAGTATGTGCTTTTAAAACAAATCAAGCCAGGGAGATGGTAGGCGCGTAGGCAGGGAAGGTGAAAAATTGTGACACATGGAGGAGAATTTGGACTTGCTTTCGGAAAATGTTCTCTTTCAACTGAAAATGCGGACAAGTCCAATTCACTGTACTGCAGGTGTGAGGGTAGATAGCTGCTGAACACAGATTTCACGTGAATTTACCCATCCCAACCCTGCACCTCCAAACCCAGAGGGAAGCACCGTCTTACCCCAGCGACACGCCTGCTCACGGTGCAGGTGACACACTGACAGGCTTTAAACACCATACACAAGAGCTCTGCAGAGACACAGCTCTCTCCCTGTGCCAGCAGGAAACGTGAGCAGGGAGAGGCTGGGTTGCACATAAATCCCCCCCTCCACATTTGTAATGACGACCCTATCACAAAGCTGCTCTTGGGTTTGCTCTCCTGACCCGCAGCCCGCTGATTTCCGTCAGCTTTGGAGCCAGCCCTTCATGTAGCTGTTTCATGTCACAACCTGGTGGAAAACCATCTTCTTTCAGGGACAGAGCAGACTGCTCCTGTTGTTTCCCTGCAGCCCTGTAACATGGTACTGCCATGGCAAGCAAGGTGCCACAGGCTTTGTAACAAGTTTGCAAGGTCTCGGGAACGCAGCTTGTGATGCTCACTCTGTCTGAGCTCTTCTTGACCTACCTGCAGCCTTGTTTCACCTGGTCTAGCTGTAACAACAATTCTTCTAATTGACCAGGTAACCATGGCTGATTTTTTTTACGCTTCTTTATCTTTTTATGCTACTATCATGGGTTTACAACCCTAACATAATGAGGTAGTATAAAGACATAGAGGCCTTGAGAAGTAGAGGCACAGGACGTGGCATGAAGGAGAACAGGTGTGGGACGACAAAAGATGGAGCACAGGCTGGCACTGGCGGCCCCACCCTGCGAACGACCAGTAAAAGAAATGTGGACCTGACGCTGGACGAAAGTGGTGTCAGTGGTAACCAACAGGACCTCTTTCTTTCTTTTTCTGTAAT